CCCATATCCTTCTAAATCAAAACAAAGGAAATAACTAATCTCACCGAGTGACTGACAGACGGAGGGGAGGGAGGGAAAGGGTAAACAATGCTCAAATTATTCCATATTGCATTAAAATTGAATACAGTCACTCAAAGCTCCCAACTTTAACAAAAAATACACCCAAACTCCTAATACTCATCATTGCATCGAAAACCCCAAACCATCCAAGTTTGATCTCATCGTGGCCGCTGGATTGAGATCTCCGGCGAGGCTTGTTAATGCTTTCAATGGACGCAGGAAGAGGTGAGGCTTATTGAATGTTGCAAGAAGAAATATAGAAGGAAGAGTGGTGATGGTAAGATGAGTAAATTGGTAAGTTTAATTTTTTGGACAAATTTTTAAAACCAACCCTTTTTGAGATTTATTTTCAAAAATCAACCTATTTGAGGTTTATTTAGTATTTTCGATCTGGTTTTAGTCAGCTGGCTGAAATTGGGTCGAAAATGCAAAATAAATTGCTAAAACTTTATGAGATTTAGAATCCCGTGAAGTTTTAGTCCTTAATTCCATGCAATTTAAGTAAGGACTAAACTTCGTGGGATTCTAAATCTCGTGAAGTTCAATATATAGTTTCAAGTTCAAATGTAACATGATTGCAATAGTTGGCTAGCTCAAAGAAAACTAGACTTTAATTATTCAAGCGGTCTTGAGTTCGAATCTCATCCTAACATATTTTTTTCTTAAAAGGTAAAAAAATTACTAAGCTGGGATTTGAACCGTGCTCTTCCTATACAAGCATTATAAGCTAATGATATAACCACTAAACCCACTACACATAATTGTTTAATTTGTAAAGTTTGTTTATTATAAACTTCATGGGATTCAGAATCCCATGAAGTTTGGTAGCAAACCACCACCTTCGTTGAGCTTTTTTGTTTAGCTATAGTTAATTAAAAACTGAACTTCACGAAATTCTAAAGTTTCAAAAAGATAAATAGATCGCCTTTTGAAAATAAAGTTTCAAAAGAGATGGTTTTGAAAATTTATTCTATTTTTTTTCAATCATCTTTACTTATATTATAGCACCTTTCCGTTTAAAACGATTCATTTTGGGTGAGTTTTGCTTTGATGAGACACATCAGCATAACGAATACACGTCAGCATCTTTCATCTTTGTTGAAATTATAACAAAACAGCTTTAAAGTATTTGCCTTTTCCCACGGAAAATAATAGGAGCATACCTCAACAACTCCAACCACACCCTTTCTCTTTTGCTACAGTGCACCGGGTCTCATATGAGATTTTAAAATTTTAAAATCTCATGTGAGGCCCGGTGCACTGTAACAAAAGAGAGAATGTGTATGATTAGAGTTGTGGTTAGGGTGTGCCCTTAGTGCCACTCTTTTCACACTCCAACTAATCAGAAAACTAATCAAAATTCTCAATAGAATACTCTGATTTTCCTTTCATACCCTTTCGCTATGTTCCGCCCAAAGCGATAAAATCCTCCGGCGGAGCAACCAAACGACGTTCCTCCTCCTATCCTTCCCCCTCTCTCCTTCAACCAGAAGAAGAGACACTGAAGAAGAGAGGAGAAAGAAAAAAAGGTAAAACCCTGAAAAGATAGAGGGGGGAAAAATGAAGGCCACGATAAAGGGGAGATACGAAGGGGAGACGGCCTCGTCGGCGCTGGCGACGCTCGATGTCAACGCCGGCGACGTCAACCTGAAGGCGTCGATGAGCGACGCCACCTTCGCCAAGGGCCCCTCCTTCAATGGCCTCGTCCTCTCCGTCGACAAGCCAGGCTCCTTCATCGTCGACTACAACGTCCCCAAAAAGGTATTGCCAACAGTGATCAGTAATAACTTGATTTGGATTATTTAGGGTTAGGGTTTTTGCTTAAGGAACATATGTTTTATTTTTATTTTTTGTATTTGTATGTTGAGAAATTAAATGTTAAAGGCTATCTCATGAAAGGAGATATAACTGAAGATCTGAGATATACTTAATTGGCCATGGCTTGAATATATCTGTTTTATTCTTACTTAGGCTGTGTTTGGTTTGAGGGGAAGGGAGAGAAAAGAAAAGGAAAAAGAAAGTGGAAAAGAAAGGAAAAGAAAAAGAAAGGAAAGTAAGATTCTTTTTGTTGTCTGGTTAGTTAGAAAATCGTAAAGAAAATTGGAAGGAAAATGATAGGAAAAGTAATTTCTTTTGTTTGGTTACTCTTTTATGAAAATCAAGTAGAAAATAGAAGCTAAGGTACATTACACCAGAAATCTTATTTCTTGAAATTTATGAATTGTATTTTAAGTAATTTAGGATATAATTTTTTTAAAAGTTTTCAAACTTTAGATTTCATAAACACTATCAAACTTGATTTTTCATATAAATACCTCAACATTGCTTCTAATGATAAAGCTTATATAAATAATAATTTAATATTAAAAATTCATAATAATTCATAAAAAATTAGTATGTAAATAACAAGTTAATACAAAAAAACTAAATAATTCATAAAAATCAGCCATACACATTAAAGAACAAAATTACCAAGCATAATATTGCATCACTAGGTTATTTCTACAACTGAAAAACAATTCAATTTTTTTGCTAGACAAAGTAATTAGACAATCCAATAAAAAAAAAATTACATTGTTTTCATTGTTTTGACAATAACTACTAAGGTGGTGTTTGGTTGTTTGCAACTAGAGTTGCAATGCAAGTGTCACTTGCATGCAACTGAGACGCTGCAACTCTTCTTACATGCAACTACAGTTGCAATTGTTTGGTTTAAAATTTAAATTTTGCAACTTATAGTTGCAGCTGTTTGATTATGCTTATAACTTAACATATGCAACTCATAAAATATTTTTAAAAAATAATATTTTTTAAAAAGTAATATATTTTTAAAAAATAATATATTTTAAAAAATAATATATTTTAATAAATAATATATTTTTAAAAGTTAATATACTATTTTTTTAAAATAATATAATATATCATTTAAAATATATATTATTTTTAGAAAATTATATTATTTTAAAAATACATTATTCAAAAAACATATTATTTTAAAAATATATTGTTCAAAAAATATATTATTTTAAATATATATTATTTTTAGAAAATTATATTATTTTAAAATATATATTATTAAAAAATATATTATTCAAAATATATATTATGTTTAATATAATATTATTTATATAGTATATATATATTAAATATATACTGTGTAATTTATTTAGAAATATATATATTACTTTTAAAATATATTTATTTTAGAAAATTACTATATTATTAAAAAAACTATTATTTTAAAAAAATATATATTATTTTAAAAAATATATATTTTGAAAATTATAATTATTCTTAAATATATTCAGTTCAAAAAATATATTATGAAAAAATATATTATTATAAAATATATTATTCAAAAATATATTATTTTAGAAAAATAAATAGTACTTGCCTGGAAAATTTCATTTTTCAAAAAATATATTATTTTTAAAAAATATATTATTTTTAAAAAAAATATTATTTTAAAAAATAATATATTATTTTAAAAAATAAGATATTATTTTAAAGATAATATATTACTTTTAAAACTAACATATTATTTTGAAGAAATTATTATAATAATAATTATTTTAAAAGATTAATGTTGTTTTTTTAAAAACGTTTTTGAAGAAATTATTATAATAAGAATTATTTAAAAGATTATTTTAAACCTTTAATGAATTTATTTTTAAAATATTAAGTAATGATTTTGATTTTAATAAATTTAGGTCAGTTGCAACTAAGTTGCAACTATGACTTGCGGCCATTTTTGACGTAAGTCATATGTTGCAACTAAGGGTTGTTTTGCAACTGTGGTTGCAACTGCAACTGTGAGTTGCAGCAAAACAAACACATGCAACTAGTTAAATTGGACCTAGTTGCATGCAACTGGAGTTGCAACCACTCCAGTTGCAGCCTACCAAACAACCCCTAAAAACAGCCAACAAAATTGTAATTGCAATAGTTGTACAAGCCCAACATTCAACAAGTACTTTCGGTTCAACTTTGTGTTCCCGACTAGTCCAAGGTCCTAACTAATAAAGGCAAAAACAAAAAGTGAACATCAAGAAATATGCTCAAAATATTTGATTCAAAGATTCCTGCAAAGCAATAACATCAATATTTCTTCCTGACTTCAATCAAAGGCTTCTTAGACCTTGTCATATGCTTCTCTCCCTAAAGAAGAAAAAAGAAAATATGAGTTACATTCAATTTTAAATGGACATGGAGTCAAAAAAGATAAATCAGTAGGTACCATGAACTAAGAACAAGCTTGTAGAAAATCATATTGCATTGATTCAAAACTAGGACAATGTCGATGAGAAAAGCAAATTAATACAATGCCAGTAGAAGATTATTATCTTAAGACTGTATGCTCATATCAATGTGAAAAACCAAGACTAATCCCAGATTATGCATGCATTTTTTCACCAGTAAGTGTGAAAGAAATTATGCGCGTGTTTGTTATTTGCGGAGAGGACTTCGAGGAAAGCTAAAAACAGTCCGAGTGACATGCCCTAGTTTCAAGACACCAGATAAAAATGTCGCCACTGTCACATAAAGTCGTTTCATGCTCATGGTCAGCTTCATATTTTCTCTTCTATCTGATGATATCACTCGATGAGTTCTACCCGAAAATCTTTGATCATGAACAAGTAGCATTCATGTGGATTTTTTCCCATATAATGACTTTGATACTAATATAGAGGCAGTCTTTCAATATAGGTTCTACTTAATCAAGTACTTTTGTGTCTTTCATAAGGTGTTTCTTGCTTCCAGTAGAGCATAAAATAAGAGTCTGGATTTCTGTTAATAATAGTTGCTTCTTACTAAAGCACCTAACGTTTGCTTGAAATTAATCCTACAATAATCCATTAATGAATTCTGTTTGCCTATTTCTTTTTATGTTGCATGCTTAATACCTTCCAGGACGAAGATATGTTAGTGACATTCAACAGTGTTTCACAAAGTTTTGAATTGTTCCACTCACGAGCTTCTTTTACTATCATGATTGTGAGGAAATTAGATATGAGAAAATGTTCCTGATGCAGAAAACGTTTTGGGATCTTGTATTTTACCTTTTGAAGGTTAAATGCATTCTACATCATCCTCTTGATTAATTTTCAAGGTGTGAATCTATCTGAGCTGCCTATGGTTAAACAATGCAAAAGAAAGCATTGCTTAGTACCAACGAAAAGTTTGTGTTATGATAGATTCAAGTAGATGAATACTTATTTCAAAGGGAACCTAGCAGTGAGAATGCTACTCAAAATGCATTAAAGAGAGATGCTAATTAGCAAACTAGAAGCCAGCCTAAAAATACTTTGCAAGAGATCTTGGAGAATAGTGCCAGATAATAAGCCTGCAAGTTAAGCTACTTGATTGGGTAAAACCTTTTAAATATCAGTCACAGGTAAATTAAAATTGACACATGAATGTACCATTATTCAATAAGGTGAATAGTGAGATGAAATACTCCATTAACTAAAAGTGCGGATAAAATGTAGAAATAGCACCTTCATTTGCATGTTTCAATTTACAGATAGATCATGTAATAATAACTAAAAAATTAACATCCAATAAAAGCAAGCAATCCTTATCATGCGTAAGAAATTACTTCTCACAACGATAAAAGTACACAAAACGTCAGAACCACCACAAGAGAATTGCAATGAACACTCCAGCATAAGTCTTTGAGCAACATAGCTCTTTTAGAAGATAAAAGAATTAAAATTAGTTATTAGTTATATTCTCAACTAATAAATTGCTTACCTAAAAAAATAACAAATTGAGAGATAAAATAGGAGTACGAGTACTTGACAATTTCACTATCATAACAAAACTGAATCCAATTATGCCCCCCTCCCCCCAACCTCCCAAAAAACAAGTTAGCACAAAAAAGTCTATCTCCAATTCCTTGACCCCCATTCAAATTCCTCTACTCCCCATTCCAACAATGGTCTCTCAGGACATACATATTAAACGATTGCTATAAGCATTATGGAAAATATGGAGTATATTCTTCCATGACCCAGATTCAGGGACTAAAATTCAGCATAAACGAAAAAACAAGAGAATTTTCCACTAATGAGCTAAAATATGATAAAGTTCAAAAAAATTCCTCAGGAGCAGAGTATAACTTATAATAGACCAGACTTCTTTAATACTTACCAAGCTGTTTATAATTCAAATTCAGTTACATACTCAAATAAATAATACTAGAAAAGCTTGTTGCATCCTACAATGCAAAAGCATATGCCATAAGATTATTTAGAAGAACAAGCATGGCAAACCGTTTGATTCGTTATGGACACTAAGATATGATTACAACTAACATATAAAATATTGACTATGATAGCAAGCGCATATACATTATCTAGTTCATATCCAAGTAGATAAGATGGAGTACTCTAAATGCATCCTGTTGATTGTCGATATATGCAAAAATCAGCAGAAAACCAACATAATATCAACATAGCATCATTATCAGTTGTCCTTTTACTGAGTATAGAAACGAAAGCACTAATATGTATCTTTCACTTCTGTCCAACTCTTGGATTATAGAAATATTATCTCTAGCTAATATAACTATTCATTGATCCATGCATTGACACATAAAATAAAGTTTGATGAAGCATTAAGAAAATTTGAAATATTCTTCACATCACTAGCTAATTCTTTATAAAATTAAGTCTTCAATCTACAAAAAATCACCAAATCCAAGCACAAATCTACAAACTCAACTGCACCAATTTCAAGCATTAGGAACCAAATTGTAC